TCAATTAATTGTGTTTGATTGATATACTTTTCACCTAGAAAATATTAAAAAGTATAATTTTTGGTGTTCATCTGATTTTATTTTTCATGGAAATTATCCATTAAAGGGATATAATTTGTTACAATTGGGAATATAATTTGTTTCTATTGAAAAAAAAAATTGCCTAGAAAAGTTTTTCCTCAAAAATCAAAAAAATGTGGAAAACCAATTATATGAAAAATTTAGTCAATCAAATATGCAAAAATCTGGAAATAGAATTTAATTTTCATCTTCCATTGAATAGAAAGCCAAATCAAATAGGGCCTAAGTTTTTTATACGATTATGGAAAACGGAGAGATGCCGCGAGTTTTATCATATCATTTTATTACATTGATAATTTCAAGAGCTCTCACCCTAACTCGGTAGGGTCATATTAGCAAGCATGGCATGTCAGACTGACCCAAAGATTTCTTTCCTTTCTACGAAACGATATAAAATCTGGATTCCTAGAGTTGTTGAACCAAAATAAATAAATAAATATGCATGAGAGTTTCTAATTGGAATTCTAATTTGAACAAAGAGTCCAGGATTTCTTTCTAATTATAATTTATATGGGTATTAATTTTCCCTTTTCCTCTATTTTTGTTCCGTTTATTAGCACTTCTTGTGTTGGTTGCGATTGTTGATTATCATTTAATATTTTTATTTAGGGGCTGTTTAAGCCACATTATTTTGGAAGAATGTATTTTTGATTAGTAGATTGATAGAGAATGTATGGCTGAAAAAGAAGGAAAAGTTATTGATGTGATGAAAAATATTATTTTATTGAAAAATGTGTGGTTGAAAATGAGTAGAAAAATGTGAATGAAAAATATAATGTGGCTCAAATAGGACTTAGTGTTGGCATCAGGAACTGAGGTTTTAGAAGGATCAATTGCCCCATTAGGATGAGCACATGAGTAGAGAATGAGGCCAAGCCCAAGTTGATGAGCCCATGTAGAGAGGATGAAGTCGAGTCTAGAAGGATGCATCCTTGCTGGTAGATTTATGAATTTGCTTACTTGGCAGACCACGTCAACTATTCAAAATGCCACCAAATCACCCACTTTCGAGGCAATGAAGGCACATCCCATCATCTCCTTGAATATTATTTTTCGAGTGGACCTCGTCGACACCCGCCTTCGAAGCGACTTAACTTGTTGTAGAAGCACCATCTCTTGGCTCCAAGGCAATGAGAAGGAACCCAACTCTTAGCTATATGATGGGTCTCAAGTATCCGAGGCAATTGTGGGTAACTTGGGGATGCCTCGTTCAAATTGCAATTGGACAACATTGAGCCACTTGGGATGTGATTGATGATCAAATTTCCTCTCTTTCGTTTAGTATAGTATGCGGAGTTGTAGACCTATTGATGCTTAGGATGCGATAGAGTGAAATCATAGAGTTTGACTAGTGGGCAGTTGAGATAAAATTACTTACTAAGTATCATAAATTTCTTATACCTTTATATGCTGGTTGGTATTTTATACTTAATCGATGTGAGATTTACTCGTAAAAGGTATGATGCGATTAGGCTTAATCTGATAAAGTCGATCCCATCCCATCAAGACAAGGTTGGGCCAGGTATGTAGACCTCGTACTTGAGAAGTGGGTTGAATTCAATCTTATTGAAATGTCAAGACTAATTACGACAAGATTAGAGCAAATAGTAGAACGCAACCAACTACAAGCAATTGTGACTAGCTCTCCATTGCTCAAGGCACAAAATGAAGATGTACTTAAATTGATGTGACAAGCAAGTGCATCAAGCCAAGACACCTACGTAATTTGGCTCCATTAACTAGGTTTCGTTACAAACATAGTTGATACAATTGACAAGAAAATTTCTTAACGATTTTCAATCTCTACACTTAGAAAATAAAATCTTCTTACTCGAAAAAAAATAGTTGAAGTTCCGTCCATTTTAAAAATCAGCTAACATTCTAGTTTATGAGTCCACTGTCCACACATTTTTCCATTACCAAGTGGTGTGGCAGCGATATTAGCGCGTTGACCCCGTCATGTGCTGTAATTTGCCGAAAAGTTTGACACCGACAACATTGCAATGGAAAGTCGGCTTAAGAGGCGCCGAAACAGCCGAAGCAATAATGCACTCACGCTGATGTTTGACATTCGACACCCACATCCATACTAATAATTTGGTTCAGGCGAAGGATTGAGCTCTTTCCCCATTGCCAGAATATTAAAATTTAAAGTAAGCAACTAATGCTGTCTAATAGTAGTAGAGCCCACATTTCATAATTGATGATTGCAAAATATGAGGTTTCATATTCACCGGAAATGATTGTCGTTGGATAGCATTATTTATTTATTAATAGTAGGGTAATTAGCACATAACGTCAACACCTTTCATTATTATTGTGGAAACGTTGAAACCTTTCATTTTAAAAGTGCAATCACAGTTCTAATTTTAAAAAAAACACAAATAAGTTACAAATAAATTATTAAAAGGATAATTAGTATAAAATGTCTATATCTTTCGCCGTTATTAAAAAAAAAGGTCCATACCTTTCATTTTTTTTTGACATTTTCACCATTAATTATATATTTGATTGTACAAACCATTATTTTCATCCAATCTTTGCATAAAGAACTGTGAAATAATGACTATACCCTCCTATTTAAATAAAAATATATTTTTTAAATTTTTAATAATTTATTTTGGACTTGTTTGTGTTTTTTATTTTTTAAAATTTTTTTTTCAGTAAATTTGATTGGAACTCGTTTGCACATTTTTTTTAAAAAAAAATTAATTTTTAATAATTTATTGGGGACTTGTTTGCACTTTTTAAAAACATTTGATACTATGATTGCAATTAAATTTGTAGCTTTTTATTTAAATAGGAGGTTGTATTCGTTATTTTACAACTTTTTATTGAGAAATTGGATAAAAATGAATAGAAATGGTGGTTTGCTCAATCAAATGTATAATTAAGGGTGAAAATGCCAAAAAAAAAAGGTAGGAACTTTTTCGCAATAATAATGAAAGATATGTATTTATGTACTAATTACCCTTTTAATAATTTATTTGTGACTCATTTACACTTTTTAAAAAAATTGGGACTGTGGTTGCAATTAATTTTTTTTCCTTTTGTTTTATTTAAAGAGATGAGTTTATTCGTCATTTCATAATTTTTAATTGAGAAAATATGTAAAAATGACATTTTGCACAATAAAAAGTGGAATGGAAATAAGGGTAAAAATGTCAAAAAATGAAAAATATGAATATTTTCCACAATAACAATGAAAGGTGATGACGTTATGTGCTAATTATCCTTATTAGTAATATTATTTTGAATATTTGTTTTTCTTATTAACATGTCATGAGGTTCAACTTCCTGACTAATTCCATCGGAGTCCGGGGACGGAGGGAGGGGATAGCCCCGAGCTAAGCACATTTAGATTTTTATATGAATTTTTTTTTTTTTAATCGAGATTTTTTAATTTTATGTATTAGTCCAGTACAATTTTTTTTTTTAAATCTGTGGTCCCACCGACTCTGCCCTACGTCCCTATCTATTTTTTTTTATACCAAAAATCTAATAAATGCTAAAAAAAAAGTATAGATTCAATGTTTTTTTTTTTCCTATTGTAGAGCAAATTATTCTATAAATAGTTACTTTAGCAGCCATCTTGACCAGTTCAATGTTATATAAAATTACTAATTATATTCTTGTCTTCTGGAGTTAGTCAATAGATTGCTCAAAGTTTAGATCAACACGTTCCCTGATAATCAAAATGAAATGTTTCAGAGGAATAGTAGAGTTAGACTTTCACAAACGAATACAAATTGAAGGGAAAAAACAAAAGAACGACTTCTAAAGTATTTGGCTTTCTTGGCTTATTCTCAATTTGATTAAGAGAATGTTCGAATAGTCCAAAGTCTTCATAGTTAGCTCTCGATAAGAAAGATGCATTTTCATGACCGTTATCTATTTAATTATGTTCTACTTAGTTCCTCTTTCTCTTTAGTGACTACGTATATTTCTGGCTAATGAATGAAATATTTTTAGAAGATCTATTTTTCGTGGGAGCACACTTGCCGAAGATTTAATATTCTTTTCCTTTCCTCTTGTTCTATTTTCAACCTGAATTAATTCACATTTAGCCCCAACTCAAGAGCAATAGTACTCTCAAGTCATGCATTCGTGCTTTCATATTGCTGAAAAAGTCGAAAAGAACATGTTTTAGAGCAGACAAATATACTCACGTATTTGCAAAATTTCCTTTCAAGTCGCAATTTGAATGTTTATGATTTTCAACCTTAATTAATATGACACAGTATGAAGTAAGTGATCACAAACTCAAGAATAAAATAATCGATAGAAGAATAGAGATTTCACTAAAATATGAAGAAAGAATAGAATGATTTTGTTTATGATTTGTCTAACTTGTAATGAGATAAAACAATATATCTAAATTGTAGAAAATAGAATATAGAGAAGAATCCAAGCTCTAGAAGTAGAGTTGTAGATGAAATTGTCATATTCAAGTCTAATACAAATTTCAACTCCAAATAGAATTTTCAAATAAAACTTCAACTAAAATTTGCTAAATAGAATTCGAATAGGATTCCAAAAGCATTCCAACGAATAAGATTTCTCTCAATGCCGATCTTAATTAGAATTCTCAATGACCTTCGAAATAAAATTCGGACCACACCCTAATTGTAACAGAATGTGATCGTGAACCAAAGAGCTACTACAATCAACTTGAGACGGAGTAACACTAGGACGAATAAAATATACTTTTATATATTTCGTACATGGTATTCCTCGTCCCCTTTTTTCACAAAATCAACCGATTATGATTCTATCTACTAATACATCAAATTATCCACCATATAAATATCATTATGTCAGCATCGAAAAAGTCTATCTTTTGTGCATCAAATTGTCCACCATGCAAACATCAGCATCGAAAAAGTCTCATCTTTGGAGTCTAAAATGTCCTCTCCATTTTATCGTTTTGTTTCCAGTTTCTGATCTTTAGACTTCTCATTGTAATACTTGGTAAACTCCTCGTCCCTTAAAAGCACAAACAAAAATGTTCACATGAAAGTTACTTGAATAATGAAACCAAAAATTGATGGAAAGAATGATTTGAATTCGTGCAGATGACCCCACGGTTTACTTCGTCAAGTCTGACACTGAATAATAAACAAAAGCAATGAAGAAGCAGACGAAAACGCATATTTTTTCGATAAGTTAAGTTTGTCTTCCAGCTGAAGCCGAATTCGATGACCATGCGACGTTATGTTTTCACACTTGTGTGTATATATATATATATACACACACACATACAGAGAGAGAGAGAGAGAGATAATGCTGGTACATATGGATTCTGATACGTCTTCTAGACTTTTGAGTGCATTTCGTCGAACTTGGGACATGCAAAAAGGACATCTGAATTAGCTTTCAACTCAAGTATGGGATTTCTATCTCACTTAACTTTGGTATTTCATCTTTTATCTTTCTTGTTCTCTAAATTTATTGGCAAATTAAGCAGATATGTATGATACTTTGCTTCATCCTAGTATATTCTCCGAAACTTCTTCCTTAGGTTTTGACAAAAACTGGAGAAAATAATCTGTTCATTTCTCAAGGGTTGAGTGCCCCTACCCCTTCCTCTTCAGGGCAATAGTTATCTCATTCTTCAACTCTGATTTTTAATTGATTATCTTTTGAATAATATATACATATATATAAAATATTGTAACATCTGTTCTATTCGAAACAAATCAATGTTTTATAGATTAAAACCTAGTTCACGCATTCAAAAGTGTGTTCATAAAATATAGCAAGTTCAAGTAGTTGTAAAATGGATTTTGCTATTTGTACAACCATGAATGACAATGTTGTGTGTTGGCAAAAAACAGTTGACTGCAAAAACAACATTTTGTTTAAACTATCTAATGTGGCATTTGTAAATAAAGTTGTCATTCATGTTGTACACCAAGCATGATTGTTGTAAAACTTCGAGGGCTATCGTCTCTTGATTAAAGATTTCAGCTCTTGCAAACCCGCACATGTCATTATAAAGAATAAAGAATAAAGCTGCAAGTACAGAGAATTTCAATAGAATAAAAACAGGGTAAACGGGGTGCTGATGTGGCAGCACCCTGTTGGCATTTTTTTTTTCCTTCCAGTGCAAATCCACCAAATATTTTTCCCTTCAAAATTCTATTGAAATTCCCTGTACTTGCAGCATTGCTCAAGAAAAAAATTAAATCTTATAGTGTCATTCTTCCATTTATATGCAAAAATTCATAAACCTTTCTTTTCATAGAATAAGAAAATTATGATTTGGCTACATTAAAATATACTGATAATCAATGAAATTCTCTACATCTTTCATTAAACAATCCTGCTACAAGTACATTGTTTTTGACATCAAGTTTGATATTGTGTCAGATGTTGTAGCACGATTGGCTAGTTTGAAAATACAACACACTTTTCCGCCACTTCATTTTTGAATTTGCAAAGGAGTGTCAAACTCCATGTACACAAGAAGTGCACAAGGAGCATAATTCTTCATCAAAATGGTATATATATAGCACACGCATACATACATTGGAGATATCTTGGAAGAAAGCCTTTATTTATTAAATGCCACATTTTAAAGTAATTCACTATATACTAGGAAAGAGTTGTTAATTTTAGAAAAAAAGCACTAGAATAAAATAATCAAGCATGTTTGGCTTAATTAGCTTAAACATTAGAAAAGAAGTCAAAATTGTTCTTCAGCAATATGACCCCTTTGTAAAGATGCCAAGCTAAGCCAAACATGTACTAGCCCTTGTTGTAGATACTTCTACATCCTACAGTCTGTGATGAAGTATTTGACTTAAAAGCTTCTTATTACTCTTCCTTTGCAGAATCAAATGTTATAAAGATGGCTATGCATGTTCATTGTTAATTGCTTTCAATCTATGAATTTAGAGAACTTCTAAAGGCGGACAATGACATATCTAACTGAAAAATCAAATAGAGTTGTAGCTATGAGTGCTACCGATGATCTGATAAGAGGATGGAACTAAAAACAGTATTTCCAATTATTTAGAATTCAAACAAACTTATAGGTGAAGAAATATGTCCCCGTGTTTTCCGGTGAGTACTTAAAAACTTCTAATTTAGACAAGAAAAAAAATTGCAGGCTTAAACATCAAACTTTAGAAAACTTACAACAAAGAAATTTTCATCTGATCATCATGAATCTTCATCTGATCTCTCTTATAAGAGCACTTAAAGACTACCTTTTTGAATGACCGATGCTATCAAATTCTTACCAATTTTCCGTAGAACCAGTGCTGGAAGTTCCAAATTGTGATTGAAATCTCAGAAACTCTTGCTCTTGTTGCTGGTTTTGTTGTTGAGTTGGCAATACTGGAGATATCATTGTTGTATTTGATGAAGATTGTGAAACAAATGTTCCATAAAACTCCGAGGCACCATAGTTCAAATAACTATTATTAACTCCTCTATGGAGAAATTCTGCATAGTTCTGGACATCGATACCACTTTCTTGAGATACTGACCGAGGGATTGGAGTAGTTGACTCGGAAACAATTCGTAAATCTTGACGCGTTGTTAAGTAACCAGACTCAGTTTTTCCTTGCACTCTCTCGGGAAAATTAAGCTTAGCTTTTCTACCTTTAAATCTTAGCGCTGCTTCATCATAAGCATGAGCTGCACCCTCAGCAGTGTCAAATGTTCCAAGCCAGACTCTTGCTGCTTTCTTTGGATCTCTGATCTCCGCTGCCCACTTACCCCAAGGCCGCTGCCGGACTCCTCTATACTGTCTTCTTCTCTGTAGGTTTGTTCTCCCTTTATGTGTGTGTATATATATATGCATATCATGTTTGGTCAGGAAAAAAATTAGGTAAAAAAATCATTTGCAGTAAAGTTCAACTGTAAGTAATGCAAAGGAGATAATCCTAGAAAAATTATATATCCATGTGCCCCTATCAAAAGAAAATAAAAATAAAAAACAGACACATCAAACTGCTGATGCATGAATAAAATGACATAAAATTTTAGGGGTTAAATTCTGATTGTAATTAGGAGATAAATGTTGAGCAAAACGAGATCAGAAAAACATATAACCAAATACACTGACTTATAGTGGTTCGCCCTTAAAGAGCTACAGTCATTTGTTGCTGAACATTTTTACTATGAAGAAGATGATTACGATGGTAATCTCTCGCATCTCAGTTTGTCTCTCAAAAAAATATTAATCCTCCTAAGAATCTATTATATATAGAAAGATGTTAGATTGATTCCTGGTTGAAAGGATTAGTGATCAATATGATTATGCTTCACACAGTCCAAATAGAAACTATACATACATGTTTTTATACCTTCTTGTTGAACTGCTGGTAGCGGGGATTGGTTTTGCTCTTGTCCACTTGATTCAGGCAGTGGTAATGGAAGATTTTCATCTACTGGAGGAACTGCAGGATTATTGTCTGAGTTACCAATTACTTGAGATAGGGCATAAACCATAGCCGACGTTTCACGTTGTGATCTAGCAGAGTAGAAAGGGTACAGACCTACTTCCTCCTTCTCCTCCGATTCATCGAATGGAAGGGGCCTTTTCCCATGCCTTCGATCCACTGTTTGCCCTTTAATTATGACAGTGATTTACTTCAAAGAGAGTACGTAAAACTTACAGGCTAGAGAAGAAGATTTTAGAGTTTTCTACATGATATACAAGAAATGAGACAGCTCAATAACGATGGAAATGAAGGAATTTCTAGGGTTTTCTACCACAGCTGAAATATCTGTGGAAAATTAGGAATCTTTGATCGTACTTTTGCAAACCTATGACGCGCGTTGTTTCTTAATTGATAATTTGGTTCATATATATAGTCTCAACAATTATATTTTATTGCACCTTTTTTTATTTGCATTTAAATTAGTCTTCTATTTTTATTTATTGTCACTTTCTTATCCACAATTTTCTAGCAATTAGCAAATTTGAAATTGTCATTGGTTTCTGTCCAAATATTCTAATATCCTGATTTGAAATGAGAGAGTAAATATTTTTATCACACTTTATATTTAATATAAGGGTGCATTTGATTGCAATGGTGAAAAATGAGTGGAAAGAAAATGTTTTACAGGGAAAATATTTGTCTAGAAAGTGTTTTGCAGGGAAAATGATTTCAAGTGTGTTTGATTGGTATAATTTTCCACTCAAGAAATTTATAAATTTTCTATTCGTTTGACTTTATTTTACATAAAAATTGTCCATTAAAGTGATATTTTTTTTCACAATTGGTTA